AGTTATTCTTCCTTATTGTGTCTGTCTGGGGGAAAAACTACGGAGCAACTGTAGTACACTATTGTACCTGTATTGTCTCTATGGTATTACAGTATACTTCAATATATAACTGATGGTTTAGCCATCTTCCCAGGTTGACCTAAGGCCAGTGTTACTCTGTAGCGATCTGTACTGTGGGAATAAACAAATAAATAGATTAATAAATTAAAAAATAAAATCAAACCCAATTCACCAATATGTTAGTTTGTCTAGCAACAGCTTTTTCTTCACATTTGCTGCTTTGTGGTTCTATGATGTGGTTTAATAGGTTTGGACACCAACACAGCTCTGTGGGTTTAGAGGATGAAGATATACCAGGCTTTGGATACACAAAATGTTCTTTTTTAATTTGAGCCTTTTCATAGCATGTATTGACAATGAGAAACACTGATAATATTGTTTAGTTTATACTTGTGTATGATCTGCACTTAAGGGATCTGAACAGAGAACTCACAGCACCTAGAAAACATGACTGAATTCACATAGTAACCCCATCATTCATCGCCAGAACACTTTGACAAACACACTGGTACTCCTCCCAGGAAAAAACCCCTGCTGCAGCCCCATGTGAAGAGCCAGGTCTCCTCCAATTCCTCTGTATTAACATGATTCATATATTTGATATGGCCCAGATAGATCATGAAGACACATTGTTTCCCATTCCTGAAGTGCAGTCATTATTATGCCATGTTGTTGTTACTGGTGTGTTGGTGAAGTGGTCACACTATTTTTCTTTTCCAGGTGAACCGTAGCTGTAAGATTGGCCAGGGCAACAGAAAGAGAAATCACACCAGAGAGGGAGGGAAATCGGATCAGTGAGCACAATAAAGCAGCAACTCCAAAGAAAATGACCCGGGAAGCAAGCCACATGCTCATCTCTCAGATGGTGTGTCTATGTGTTAGTAGAATATATTTTCAGGGAAGAAGGACTGCAATACATATAACTACAGACTGTCGTTTTGTTTGTTCAAAATGGAGAACATACATCGTCTCCCACTGCGTAAAAAAAAAAGAAGGGGGGGTACTGTACAACTCTAGTTGCCTTTGGGTGTGGCGTAGTGCTGGTCACTCAGGGAGTGTGCTGCACAAGTCATATGGTTCAGATGGATCACATCAATTTGCCACAGAAACAATATATAGTAGCTCTCCTCCTCTTCCTCTTGCTCTCTCTCCCTCCTTCATGTATTTTTCTTCTTCCTCTACCTTCTTTAAGCCTTCACTCCCTCATCACATAATACAGCCTATGAGAAGAACAAAATCCAAAGCTTGACCTCTCTCTTTACCCTCCTTCAGCTGCTCTCTCCATCAGCTCTTTCCACTTTCCTTACACCTCTCTCATCTTTTCTTTGTAATGTTTCATCTTTTCTCTTGTCACTCATTCTTCCTGCCTTCAACCTCTATTTTTGCAACAGAAAGTACCTTGCAACAGATGTAGTCCTAACATCTGTTCACTGATCTCTCCTTCAAACTTTCATCTCTTTCTCCATATCCTGCTTATATTTTCTCCTCAAAATTTTGTCACTTAACTTCCTTCAGTTTATTACATTCAACTGTGTTTTAGTGATATATTAAGCAAACACGATTGTTTTTAATCAAGGCAAATACTATAAACAAAGAATCATATGAATTAAAATAAAAATCACTAATATCAGCAATAATATAACAATCTGGTCTAATTCAAATACTCATCCTGTGTCTGCACATCTATAGTTCTGTCCCAGTTGTGCACAGTACGTCTCCCATTGACCAGAAGGTCACTATTGACACCCAGTGGAAATCTCTGAAACAGCACAAGGAAAGTATAGTGGAATTGGTCGAAGTCATGCTGACAAAGATGCTGTGTAGAGGAGAAATCTGCCTCACCAGGCAACACAAACTTGCAGTGTTGTTTTGACATCATGGATGCTTCATTTGAACTTAACTTTTCAGAAATATTTTCAAAAACAAATATGTCTTTATTGGTAAAAAATAAAAATCAGCTTTTTTTGAGAGTTTTGTGAAAAGCAAGGAGAAGTAGTAATGTGTGTGTACAATGGGGGAAGAACTATGAATTATGGCACATTTATAAACTCTGCTCAACGTCTAATAAATTTAAATGCAAAAGGCTCTGAAACGTTTCTCAATCCACTTCTTGCTAACCTATGTTTTTGGCGCTCCATGTCCATACAGGGGACTAGTCTGATTTAATAGAAGTGCCATTCAACTGAATGAATTGTTAATAAGTTCAAAATGTCCTCTTATTATCGTTGTGCTTTTATCCACACATCATGGTCTTCTTCAACAGCTGGTAGAAGAGGATTGCTCAGTTGTCACCATGTGACCGAAGTGAGGAACTCAACACTTTGTTGTATAGCCCTCACCAGGTGAAAAAGAGTGTGAGATATAGTTGGACACTCCAGAAAAGCAAATACTGTAAGTGAACCGTTTCTTTGATAGAGTCATCTCATCAGTAACTCATGGGTCACTCACACACGTCTTCTTGCAGCCATGCAAAACACAGTAGTGAACACAAAGTAAACCTCAGACATAACTTGGTCTACACTTTGGCTTTTCCTTTTGTTTCCTTTCATTTCAGTCTCTATACTGTGAACTTTCTTTCCCTCATTCACATTCAATCAATCCCCACTCAGCCCTGCAGTTGGAAAAAATAACAAACCCCGAAATAATAGCTTTAACTGAAGTATTACTTTAATACTTCAATAGAAATAACCTGGTTTCAACGTTCTGAAAGGAACGGGCTCAGAAGCCCGAGGCTACACTGTAATGTGTGAGTGAAAGTATATGGGCTGTCACTTCAGATTAGAGAACAGTCTCAATGTGCCTTTGACGGAGAGGCAACAGGGGTAATAGGAGGTGGAAGCAATTACAGTTTATAAAAATCGCATATGAATGGAGATAGCCAACAATGAAAGATGTCATTTTCAGCACAGGCTTGTTTTACACCAATTGGGTCTGAATTACTTTGTGTGTGTGTTGGTGTGTGTGTGTGTGTGTGTGTGTGTGTGTGTGTGAGGGGTTGCTGTGTGTTTCTATTTTTACCTGTACAGTTACAAATATGTGCTTATCTAATGATTAGGCTACACATCATCATATTCATCTGAATTCCTCACTGAAGTCCTAAAGAGGTTTATCTGTTCATCAAACATGCATGCTAGCAAATGCATGGCACTAAGAAAAAAACTGCAAGTGGTATTCAGAATATTTCTGTATAGTGTCTTGTTCAAGGATCTGCATACCTGCATTGTTTCCAGTACACAGCAGATGACTATACAGTTAACACTAACACATTGTGATGTTTGATATACTGTATATGAAGCTTCATAAAAGGTGTGTAGAGTTTTTAAATTCTGAGCATCAAAGATTCAACATCACTAAAAACAATCTTTGATAAGTAGCAACTAAGTTAAGTAGCACTTGGTTGATTTCTTCTGAAGCTACAGTGTTCCATTCTGGATTAAGTGGGAATATGTCATTTTACAAAAAAACGGACCATTGATCATATCATGAGACCATGTTTCTGCTTCTTTTTGGCTTCTAGGGCTGAATTTAAATATTTACAGTCTTTTTTATGGGAATCTCACTGATTACATGTAATAATGTTTTCATTGTGAGTTGTGATTTTCATTCCAAGGTTTGCTCTGCTTCCCTGTGCACCTTCTTCCCACATTGTCAGTGTCAGTGTAAGAAAAAAAGGAAAAGTTAGAGATAGTTGGAACGTGGCACAAAATTTAGCAAAATTATAATTTTAGTGAACATGTAATAGAAATAGCTAGTATTTGTTCTGGGGATTATAAACAATACAATAACATCAACATTGTCATTATGCTAAATATTAAAATAGGTTTTACACATTTTTTTCATGATTTGTCTTTTTGTAACCTATATAGGAAAATGACATGACATATTTTCAAAGCCTCTGTCTTGTTGTCCTGTTTGTGCTTCACATAATTCCTTCTTTTTTGTTGCATCCTAATGGGGAACAAAAATTTGAATTTGAACCTAGAAATGTCTAATGGACTTAACCAAATATTTAACCAAGCAATTTAATTAACTTGAGGAAAATAAAAATTGGAAAACAAATTAATGCGATTGTCTGATTCAGCAACTAAATAACACAAGTAACCGACAGATGCATTCAGTCACTTATGACACACTGTGGGACACATGGTGAGGAACACCATCAGTTTGAATATTAGTGAATATGTGGTGATTGTCAGAGACCAAAACTTGGTCATCTGTAAACACTGTTGTCTAAAAAACAAGTAGGGTCTATCTTTATTGGAAGTCAAATGCATGGTAAGTGGGTCTATGTCCCAGGCCCGTCTCAGACATGTGGTGATGTGCTGTGGTGTTTGTATTCACTTCTTTGTACCTTTCCCTAGCAGTTATTTTACCATTAGTTTTGCATGTTCCTATTTTGTCAGCTTGTGTTGAGGTGAACATTCATAGAGTAACCACAAGAGGGTAGTGCTCGGCTGTATGAACAGTTGCTGTGCAGTGGGCACAAACATCTTGTACAGAGTCAACCTAGTATAATAGCACTGTGAATAAGGTAATCATCCATTATCTATAGAGTCACTGGGGGGCGGCGGACAGGAGGCAATCCCAGCTGACAGTGGCGAGAGGCGGGGTACATCGTGGACAGGAGGCCAGTCTATCACAGAGCTGACATGTAGACAAAGAACCACACACACTCACCCTCACTCCCACGGACAATTTAGAGTCAGCAGTCAACCTAAACTGCAAGTCTTCAACATGTGGGAGGAAGCCGGTGTACCCAGACAGAACCCACGCAGGCGCAGGAAGAACATGCAAACTATGCACCGAAAGGCCCCGGGTCGGCCAGGGCTCAAACCCGGAACCTTCATGCAGCCACCCGTAAGGTAATCATTTTGTAGTCTTTTTTTATTATTTGGAAACACAGTTTGGTGCCTGGGGGTAATGTTGTTGCATTGGATTAGGTTCTCTTACGAGCAGCATGTGAAGGCAGCATACGTCAATCATCGGTCGCTTTTGGTCACCTGACCCAAATTTGGAGTCACGTGACTGATATTCCATCCTCGCCATTTTGCAGTGTGGGAGAGAGAGGGGCTACTTTTTATGGCTGTCGAATAAAACAAAGCAGTTTTATGTGTTGAGGACAAAGTGCGTCGAGCCTTTGCCTGTCAGTAAGTACGTTTTCATTACAATACAAACACGCGCTTTCTTGCCACTCATTGACCAAAAAGATGATAATGCCCTTGTACATTCATGTGAGTTGTAGCTAGCACTCGTGTCTGTGTTTGAAGAGCAGGCAACACGCTGTGACGTTAACGCTGTGTGTCCTGCCACCTTCCACTCGAATATCGTTTTTTTCTATGCGACAGTGTCTTTGGCGTTGCTACTAACGTTAGCAAAGTCTTTATTCGATGTTTCAGTGTAAGTTTGGGGATCCTGTTCAACTTCATTTTACAGAGGAATGAGAATGGCTGAAATATTTTTAGATCCTGACATAACAGGTGCTCATCTGAGACCGGTTAAAGCACATGACGGTGTCTGCAGAGAGGCTACACTTACAACATATTCAACCTGATAAAATAGCCGACGTATCAAATGTATTTCAGAAAGCCCAAATGATGGGTGACACATCTGGCCACGTGTTTTTAATTGGGAGTTGGACTCGTTTGGGAAAGACATTTTCAATGGACATCGTTCATTATCGTTGACTCGGTTATTCTTGGATCCAGTTTTAATAACACTAGGCTAGTTTCTGTGTTGCTCTGTTCCACTGAATTCAGAGTTAAACTAGATAATGCTGATTAATTTGAGCATGTAGTAACCCTTTTCCAAATATGTGTCCTATTGTTTTGATATAGTCAGAAGCAGAAGTGGGGGAAAGAGGAAGGTGAAGTGTGGTTAGAAAGTGAGGAAGAGGGAAGTGTTGGTTTGGCAAATATGAAAGGAATTAAGGCACAGAAGTTGTGACCAGTTTATTTTGTAAACAGATACACGTGGTGCACGTGTTAGCAAGACTGTCTGTTGACTAGCAGTGACAGGGCTGCTGATGAATGAGCCAAGCTATCACACTTATGATGGTGGTGAAGTTGTCTACTTCCCGTTTCCCAGTCTCCTCACACTAGACCCTTAGTAAATAGTGTGGTACAGTGTTTTCAAATGGTCAACAAGCCATCTTTTTTTAGTGTAGTGGATGCACCTCTTATCTCTAATATTGTTAGTCCAGAATTGGTTATTCGGTTAGGCAAATTAATACATGGACAAAAGAACAGTTTTGATGACCTAATGATACACGCACGCACATCACCCCAGGGTGGTCTTATTCCTTCCTTCAAGCTTGGGTCCTCTGTGTGTGTGTGTGTGTGTGGAGTGCGACTGCCATCTGTCTCATGTGTGAACAGTATACGGCCCTGAGGTGACCCGCATGTGCAGAAGAGGACGTGACCTCAGACACAGTGTACTGTGTTTGCAAAAATAAAAATGGATCCGGCTCATGATAGCATGTGCGTAGCGATGTACCAGTTAATGTGCAATCAAAATAATGATAAGAAGAATATCAAGAAGAAGGAGAGCACAAATATTGCTTATGGCCTCGCCTCCTCCAGCGCAGAATTGTGATGTCTGTCGCATTTCAATGACATAAAAATCGCATTAAAATGCGATATGGCCATTCACACTGAAGTCGCATTGCAAAACATCGGACATGTATCCGATTTAGGACCATATATGAAAGTGGCCTGGGCTGTATTTGAAAAAATCGGATTTGTACTGTTCACACTGTCATAAGGAAATCGGATATGGGTCACATTTGGGCGAAAAGATCGGATGTGAGCCACTTCAGCCTGCAGTGTGAACGTGACCTTAATGTCACTCAGGTAGAACACAGTCTTCATCTCATATAGTACATAACCTCTGTTTTACTAAGAGGGCATATGCTTCTGTAAAATGAATAGTTTGTAAGTGTCACATAATAGCATGAATGCTGTCACAGACACCAATGACATGGATACAATTCTGGAGTAACATTTAGAGAATGTATTTTAAAATACCTGTGTCTGTGTTAGTCTTTAAGAAACATGTTGAATGTATCACAGAGCAAATGGACTACAGTGTCATCTCCTTTTCCTGCTGTCCGCCAGGTCATGGAGATAAGCAATTTAGCTTTACTTATCACACACTCTTCCACTGCCTCCTCTTCCTCCACCTCTTCATCAGTGCAGGGATCCCTTTCACAAAATCAAACCCAGCAAACCAGAGAAGAGGATGCCTTCCAGAGTCTTCAAAAGAAACAAACCTCTGATTCTCTCATTCATGTCATTGAGAAGCTCAGCAAAATTGTGGAGAAGCGGCCCCAGCGCCGCTGCACCCTGGCAGGACAGAAACGAGCCCTCCATCAGGCTTCCCCTGCAGGGAGAGGAGGAGATGAGGAAGAGGCAAGGGGGAGCAGAGGAGGTTCTCCCCATAAGAAAATAAAGAGAAACTGTAAGGAGCAAGACAACACTGAGGAGGAGAGATCCGAAGGCAGCTTAGCTGATGGTGCTCTTTCTTCACATGCTTCAGGCGACAGTAATAACAATAACATCACCTCCATGATAACAGAGGTAGCCAGCAACCCCTATAGCACTGACAGCAAGCGGACAGTCACATGCTATCAGTGCAGCCTGTGCCCCTATCTCTCCCAAACGCTGCCCCTGCTGAAAGAGCACCTGAAAAAGCACAATGAGCAGCACAGCGACCTTATCCTCATGTGCTCTGAGTGTCACTTCACCTCCAGAGACCAGGGGCAGCTGGAGGCACATGTCAGGCTACACTTCAGCAATAAGGGTAACCTGAGGAGGAATTCAACTCCATCTGATATCTACAGTGAGGGGAACGAAGATGTTTTAGGAAAGCAGGATGAGGACTGGACTGGGACTGATGGCAGTATGGGAACCAAGGTCATCCAAAGCCCAGTGGATGAGGTACCACAAAAAAAGAAATGGTATAGCTATGAGGAGTATGGATTGTACCGCTGCCTTATCTGCAGCTATGTGTGCAGCCAGCAGCGAATGCTCAAGACCCACGCCTGGAAGCACGCTGGGCTGGTCGACTGCTCCTACCCCATCTTTGAGGATGAAGATGGTGCTTCCACAAGGAGAGAGGCCCAGGCTGCAGCTAACATTGTCACAGCCAGAGAGGAACTAGTTGTTCTATCCCCAGTTCTTCAAGATAAAAGCCTGCAAAAGCTCCCCGCTGCCTTCAAGCTCCAGCTCTGTGTGCCAACAGTTGCTGTTGACAGTAAACAGAATGTGTTGAGTCATTCAGTTTCTAATCTCAGTGAAAGTCTTAAAACTCAAGAGCAGGAAAGTGTGTATCCTATCAAAGACCTGACCTCTGAGGAGGCCATGGTGGAGGTGCAGGTGATGACGGAGGCAGAGACTGAGGTTGAGATAGATAGTCACCATGAAAGCTCCTGTATCAGAGACAGTTTATTGTCATCAGCTCAGAAGATCATTAACAGCACTCCCAACAGTGCCGGTCATATCAATGTGATTGTAGAACGCCTTCCTTCAGCTGAGGATTCAGTCATTGCCACTAACCCACTTCTTCTCAGCCCTGACAGGGACAAGGGCTTATTGCATGTAGAGGAGGAAGAGCAGGACCATGTGGAAGCTATGAAAGAGAAAGAGGTTGGCCTTGGTTGCAGTGCAGGTAGGACCGCTGACAGCCAGCCATCAGGAGCTGATGTTAAATCCTCTGTAGCTTTCAGTAGCAGCTCTACAAGGGATGAAAATATTCCACCAGCTGGTCGCAAGAGGACACATTCTGAATCTCTCCGTCTGCATTCACTGGCTGCTGAGGCCTTGGTAGCTATGCCTATGAGGACTCCTGAACTCTCCACATCCAGCGCCAAGGAAAGCCTGAAGACCACTGCAGCCCAGACACAGAACCAGTACATGAACCAGAGCCATGTAGAAGTGACTGTGGCTGGAGAGAAGCCCTCTGACACGGAGCCAGCAGCAGCTCTGTTGGACTTGGAGCTTCACAGCAAAGGCAGAGACGAAGATTTGGGGTCACTGGGCCTGAGGGAGGAAGATGAGGAGGGCCCTGCCACTAAAGCTGGCATCAGCCTGTCACTGCTCACTGTCATTGAAAGACTGAGAGAGCGCTCAGACCAGAATGCCTCGGATGAGGATATCTTAAGAGAGCTTCAGGATAATGTACAAATCCAAAATGGAGACAGTGTGGTGACGGAGAACGGAGCTGGGAGCTATATGTGTAGCATCCCAGGGGTGGATGGGTTGGTTGCCTCTCCTGATGGTAGTCTAGTGGACTACAACCCTGGAAATGAAAGGCCATACCGGTGCCGACTGTGTCACTACAGCAGCAGCAATAAGGGCTACATTAAACAGCACCTGCGGGTACACAAACAAAGGCAGCCTTATCAGTGTCCCATCTGTGAGCACATTGCCTTGGACAGTAAGGACCTGGAGAGCCATATGATTCGCCACTGCAAGTCCAGGATGTACCAGTGCAAGGAGTGCCAGGATACCTTTCACTACAAGGTGAGGAGACATCAACATTTACCTGCAGCATTTTAATCCTGTTGTTTAATATACATATGTAATCAGATTATTTAAGTAATCTATTATAATGTCCCGAGTTTTAGAATCAATTGAAGTAGCTGGTGTTGTAGCCTGAATCATGCTGAGCTGAAAGCCTGCATAAGGACAATGTTTATGTATTTTCAAAGTAAATATATCACTGGTAGTGCACCACTTTGCTTTCTCGGGCTCACTTATACCACTGTGTAACAGTTTGCCGCACTCGGTTGATCCTAATTTTCATGACATGTCTATTTTTTTAAAAAACAGATTTTACCGAAGCTGGGGGGGGGAGGTTAGGATTTAATTGGAGTAAGGTTAAGGAAATACGGCAATATATAATATAGCATCAAAACGTATTCACTTTCCCTTTTTGCACACTTTATGGCATTGTAGATTTGAGTTTTAAGTGGATAAAATAACCATTTTTGTCCGTCAGATGACACTTAATAGCCCATAATGACAGACCCTTACTCCAGTACTTGGTAGAAACCTCTTTGGCAGCAATTACAGCTTCTAGCCTTTTTTGGGTAACTCTCTACAAGCTTTGCACACCTGGATTTGGGCACTTTATCCTATTCATCCTGGCAGATCCTTTCAAGCTCCATCAGACTTAATGGGAGGTATCTGTGAACTGCCATCTTAAGACATCTCCACAGATGTTCTTGCAGTTTTTAAGGATTAGTGGTGCCTCACCTCAGTTTTATCACAGAGATCTATTGCCTATGAGATGTGTATAAATATATAAAGATCATATAGTAAGATTATTGTGGGCCATGTTGCAAATCGGTGAGAAGGGGGGGGGGGGGGGGCGGGTATTTTAATTAAAAAAAACTTTATTTTTCAGGTGCTTAATTCACAGTTGTATCTAAAAACAAATACATTCATATGTGTTTATGGTTTCCATGATGAGTTATTATATTCATTATATTACACAATATAAAATGACAATAGAGCTGAACACATTAGTAAATAGGCAGTTCATTGGCAGCTATTTAGAAACTCTATAATTCAGATTAAAATTTCAGTCTCTGTAATGTGGCTGTTCTCTTTGACGGTGAACTAAATATTGGGTTTTAGGCTTTAGTGTAATAAAGTAATTTGAATATGTTACTACTTGGCTTGTGGACATTTGGTATGCACATTTCCAATAAAAAATAGTTTTAGAATGATTTCATAGGCAGCCGACTGCTATATCTGCTCCAGAGGTAGCATTAGTGAGTTAGAGACTCTGTTAAACCTGTAGCACAGGAGATCACTACAAGCTCTTCTAAATGTCGACTGTATACATTATCCTTTCTTTGTATGGAAACCTCATTGTGTGTCTGTGCATGTGTGCTTTCCATGCATAGAGTCAGTTGAGAATTCATGAGCGAGAGCACCATAGCTTCAGCAGTGATATGGCAGCCCTCACACCCGTCACTGAAACGCTTGCTGCAGTGGAGGAAGCAGAGCACATAACAGATGGAGGTAAGGCATGTTTTTATGGCCTTGTTATATATGTATTAGGATAAATTGATGCCAGATATGGAAAATTTCAGCTTATACTCTCCTGTCTTCGGAGTTACTTTCTCCATGCCCCAGTTCTTCTATTGTCAATATGAATTTTCCATCCATCCATCCATCCATTTTCCTCCGCTTATCCGGGACCGGGTCGCGGGGGCAGCAGTCTAAGCAAAGATGCCCAGACTTCC